ATGTAACAAGGAGACATCGTGCAGCTCTGGTCGCAGACATTTGTGAACAAGTCCGAGTAAAAATCCAACAGTTTAATTTTATTACAGAGAATAAATCAAACAAATGTATAATTTATATTTAATTGCTTCTACAGCGCAGCCTACAGCTTGCTAACTGTAAACTTACAATAGCATTTTAGTTTTTACACCATCATCGACTGTTCTGCCTTTTTTCCAAACAGGTGAACCTTTCTTGTGGACAAGTGGGGCAATCATGAAAACAAATTTTACTGAATCATAAATTGTCCCAGAAATTATTGCGATAAACAATAATATTGCTGTTTGAGACCATTATGGTTTGCAATACGCTATTATCTAATATATTGATAACAGCATAATAATGGAAGTTCATTCTCTCATAGGATAAAATTTAAGTTACAGAGTTCATTTTAATTTATAATGATATTAATTGATCTATTTTTTTTTTTTTTTTGCGACATCGTTATTCACAAGGGGAAAGTGTTGGTCTTCTTTCAGCCAGCCGTGCTTGTTGTCTTAACAAGTCACCCAGGCGGAGGTCAATTAATGAAACTTCCTGAGCAGAAAAGAACAACCCTGCAAAACTTCACCAGCAGCTTTATTAGTATTACTCGCATAATTATTCATGTTTGTATTCTGCTGGTTTAATCAGTGGGAGGATAAAATGCTCATGTTGCCACTCACTGAAGGATTGTGTTGCTCTTGTGGGGTTTGCAAGACGTTTGCCATTCACAGAGATGGCAGGAAAAAGTCAGCGTTGAAGTAAATGTTCATCCTTCACCCATGATAGAAGGACAAAAAATTTCTCTTTTATTCAAATTTTGTTCTAGTGCTTTGATTAGGTGACTGTGTTTTAACACTAGTCTGCACTAAAGGAAAGTCTTTGGACTGTTTTCTCCCTCAGTGGTTAAAGGCTGTTAAAAGTATCGATTGTTTTTAGAAAGTTTTTCTTTCATCGTACCGTTTTTACCGATCTCTTAATGAGTTGAAGGAGAAAATGTAAATGAGGTAATACTTCATCTTCCTTTCATGGATGTTGGGTTAAATAGACACAGTGCTTCTGCCACAGGATTGTCCATCTTGGGGTCTCGCCTGTCCTTTTGATGCGCCTGTGACACCAGGAGACTCGTCGACGGTGTTGGCTGCCTCCTCCAACTCTGAGGCAACTGGAGTCGTGCTCCCTTCGCTCTGAATGAAATAAGGTTGCCGTGGGAAATTAAATGTTCAAATGAATTGCCGCTGCATCAGCTGGTGCGCATGGGCAGACTAAGAAGCTTTGTATTCAGCAACAGACATCTCATTGAGCAGAACATTTTCTGAAACTCCTCGCATGAGCCGAACATGTTAAGCTGCCGAGCGCGTTCATGCAGCTCATGCAGCCGTCTTGGTGTTTGCTTGTTTTTTCTTTTCTTTCAGTTCTGCAGAATTGTAGATCCCCTTGATTGTCTGCACTGTTTTTAGCGGGGGGCATTTCTTTGTTTCCTTTTAAAGTCTACATATGGGTTCACTTCCTGCCCACCCTCCCCTCCTTGCGATCCTAAATTGGCATTGATCAGCCTGAGCGAACAGCCAGCAGTTCCCTAGAGGTTCGCTTGAAAAGAGAGGCTGATGTGTTCAGCCATTTTAGACTCTCACTGCCTGTCTCAGGTGAAAGGCGAAAGCTTTTAGTCCCCATCTGGTGCTTGGAGACCTCCTAACAGCCTAATTAGGGAGGTGTGTTGTGTTTTTTTTTTTTTTTTTTTTCTTCTAAGCTTTCCTGCTTGGATTATGAGACCCCATGTTGTACGCTGTAGCAGAAAATGTCTGCCAGCTATAACCAGCTGAGTGATGCTCTCTGGATGGCAGGATGTGGTTAGTTAACAGCTACCTGCCTGGCTTTGAAATGGAGAGCTCCTGTGGTGTGCTCGCATAATCCCAGTCCTAATTTTGGACAGGATCTATGGACGCAGTGCAGCTCTGATTGTTTTCTCATGGCCTTTTTTGGCCTTCAGTAGCTTTTCCTCAAATAACATTTCTGTAAATTTTGAGTAAATTGTCTCAGTTTTATATGGATCCTTTGAAGCAAGTAAAAATCAATGACGAATTCTGACTATATATGAAGATTATGATGATATTTAACGGCTACACCGGCACACCTTTTGTATCAGTGATTTATTTAAAAAGCCTTGGGTAGAAAAAGTTATCATCACTTATGGGATCCGACTCTATAAGTGGCTTAATGTCTTAAGTTACAAATCCCTCAGCTTTTCAGAACCGGCTTTTCTGTACGTTTCCTGTGTTGGAACCGCCATAAGCCCAAAATCCATACTTAAATTGACCGTCATTGTTCACAGATCTGTATTTTAAAGCAATTCTCAGCGATCGGCGATGAGGAATGCTCGAGAGGAGAGAGAAAAAGGGAACGCAGCGTGCCGCATCCTCCGACCCTCCCTCCCCTCCGCACCCCCCCTCCCCCCCTCCCGTCTGTGCCAAGTTGAAGTTGTTATGGCAACCGGAGTCTGGTCCTATACCTGTTGCCATGGTTGAGAGGGACAGATTTTATGACGTTGTTTATGAGGCAGCAAAAATGCGTCTTCCGTCTCAAGATGGAGGAGTGCAACTCCTGCTGGAGTTGAAGTGGAAATGTGTCTGCGTTTACTGCAGACCCTCATTGAGTCAGTTTGTGACATCCATGTTGTGAGTTGTAAAATATCAGAGGGTATATATGCTGGTTTCTGGTCCAAAAGGATATTTTGATTGCTTTTGTGTGCAGTGGCATCAAATCCTCCTCCTATCTTCCTCTTTATTAAGACGCTGCTCATCTGATACGTTGACGCAATGACACACTTTTAGTGATCAAAAGTGGCGATAATGCTACATAGGAACGACTGAATACCTTTTTATTCTAAACTGAAACACCATACGTCTGATATGGATCCAGAAATGCTTTTTAGGAATTTTCGAAAGTGCTTTGTCCTGCTGGAATGCAGTTGTTGATTCCCAAGGCTGAGATTTCCCCATCCATCTGCCACCAGAGCTCCTCCGTCCCAGTGTCTTTCATTCATATTGCTGTGCAGCCTCTTGAGCTAAGGACGGCAGCTCATTAATAGCAACTGTAGATTGTTCCAGGAAAGGGCATTAGGGGCGTCGGTAATCCAAACCCTTCCCTTGATTTCTTCACGCCAACTCTCCAGTTTCCCTCCGGAGGCAGGTCAGAGGTGAAAATGGTCTTTATTTAGCCACCCATCTCTCTGTATCCTCTTCCAGGGCCCAATATGGAAGCGGCGGCCGAGCACCTTAACCTGAGGCTTGCAGAGCGCGGGAGCAAATGCATCATTTTTATTTAAAGAAAGCTCGTTTCGGGTGCGGACGTAATCGCCGCGTATTAAATGCAAAGCAGCTCAGAGGACGCGCAGTGCTTTTCTGTCAGCATGATGTGACCCACGGAGGGCGATATGCAATCCCTGTCCCTCCTCTTCTCCTGCATTATTGATAAGTGCGCTGAAATCCTCTGAGCACGTAAGGCACTCTGCTGGCGATATCTCGATGCAAAAAGCCTCTCAAGCACCCTGATGTGAAGGAGCCAAAGGGGCTTGAATTTGCTCATCAGCTTCGGGACACAATTAAATACAACAACGCTAATTGCAGCCCTGGAGCTGGCACTACACACCTCTTCTGGAAGATTGCAAATGCAAACGCGGCATGGACGCTTTAGTGTAATGCTCGTAATAATAGTTCGGGCTCCCTTGTAATGTCTTTAAATGAAAGACGAGCAAACATTCGCTCTAAGCTTTCGGTCGCTGCAGTGTGAGCAGCATCCTGCTCTGTCTGCAGCCTTACATCTACATTTACAGTGCGCAGCCTTGAAGCTAGGACTCTTGTCCTGCGGGCACCAACCGGCGTGGTTGAGGGGGACGACATACCAGACATGGTAGCAGATTCTTTCCCGTCAAGAAATATATGTGTGTGTGTGTGTGTGTGTGTGTATGTGTGTGTGTGTGTGGCCTCGGGGACCGACTTTGCTGCGTGGAAACTTTGTGTCAGCACGTTTGAAGCATGTGAAATGTGGCAGAAGAAATTGAGCATGTCGGTGCTAAAAGCCAGGTGTGTCACGATAACAAATAAATTGTCCCAGAAATGATTGTGACACACGATAATATTGTTTAATCACAACCACTGTAGTTTAATGGCATTACAATGCAAGCTTTCCCTCTCAAAGACCAATTAAACTTTAATTTTGTAAAGACCATGTAACACTGGAGCTGGAAGACATTTTAAATATCCAAAATAAAAACACAACAACCAAAAACAATAAATGAAACTGAAATAAAATGCAACTGAAATCATAACAAAAATGACACCTCTTTAAAATATATTAATCATCAGAATAGAAATAATAGAGCTCATTTTAATTCATCATATGATTCATTGCTTATTGCGACAGGTTTACTCGCCTCTATTAGTTATTTCACACTGGCTTAACTTTAATTGGAGGATAAAGACACGCTGGCTGGGAAAACTTGAACCGTTTCATGTTCCCTAAAAAAGAGAAAAGCAGATGTAATGTGTCACTGACTCGTGACTTTTAGGTTCAAATATATCACGCCCGGTGCTGGGATTCAAAAACGCCCTTTTGGCAACAAAGCATGAAATACACAGTGGATAAATGCATATTGGAAATTTCTGGTTGTTTTTTTTTTGTTTTTTTTTAAACGTCTGATTTGCTGATTCAGATTTTTATTTATTTTTAATTAAAGAGAAAAAAGTGTGCAACGGGTAGAATTTTTAAAACCAACAACAACAAAAAAAAAAGAATTATAATTTGCTAGTTGACATTTAAAAGCCATAGAAGGGAATGTGTAATTTATTCTTTGGTTTCATTATAAATGTTACTCTCTCACTGTAGTTTTTAATTGAAGCTGTATGAACAAAGATGTAATTGGTGAACCATACCACCCCAGATGTTTTTAACCATTTTCCTTATTTTTCCATCATCTCCTCAGCTATCCTGAACCCCAAAGCCCCCAAAGAACCAGCAAAAACCTTCAGCTTCGATTACTCCTACTGGTCACACACCACGGCGAGTAGACGCACAGATCGCTGGAAAACTTATTTTTAATACCTATTGGTAGCCTAAACAAGCACGGTCGCAAATCCTAATGATTTATTTCCCACCTTGCAGCCAGAAGACCCCTGCTTTGCGTCACAGAACCGAGTGTACAACGACATCGGAAAGGAAATGCTAGAGCATGCGTTCGAGGGCTACAACGTCTGCATCTTTGCCTACGGCCAGACTGGAGCTGGCAAATCCTACACCATGATGGGCAAGCAGGAGGAGGGACAGGAAGGAATCATTCCCATGGTTTGTGTTGTTTTAGATTGCTTCACACAGAATAAAGTTTATTTTCTGAATTATTAGAGGTGTTCTCTTGAATATTCTCTCTGTGCATTTTTTTTTATTAATCATTGAGATCATCTGATTAAGTTGTTAAATGGCTTGCCTTTTTCACTTGCTTTTTTTTTTTTCTTTTGTCCCTTCTGGTTTTGATTTCCAAATTCAGTTAATGTGAATTAACAATCTTCTTTTTCTGTGTTGCAGCTTTGTGAAGATCTATTTGAGAAGATCAATGAAGACTGCAACAAAGAGGAGCTGTCCTACTCAGTGGAGGTAAATTTACAATTTACAACAGTCGTCCCCCCATTGCCAACCTGGTGCTTTACTCACAATATTTAGCTTTTTTTTTTTTTTTTTCAGCCTTTCTCTCCCAAAGAAAACTTCAAATATAGATTGATGTACCTGTTTAGAGTTACTAATATATTTTTAAATCCTCAGCCTTCCAGAACCTAAACTCTGAGCCTTAAACTTAAAATGTATGCTGACATATTTTTGTAAACATTTTTTTTTTTTTAGGTGAGTTACATGGAGATCTACTGTGAACGGGTGCGAGATTTGCTCAATCCTAAGAACAAAGGGAACCTGAGGGTGAGAGAGCATCCTCTGCTGGGTCCCTATGTGGAGGACCTGTCCAAGCTAGCTGTCACATCCTACACAGACATTGCTGATTTAATGGATGCAGGAAACAAAGCAAGGTGAGTTGAGCCCCTACATGTCAAGGTGAGACACGAGGGAAGATGGGGATGTATAGAATGATTAATAAAACAATATTAACCCTAAAGTGAGTTCTTCCATCAACAGAATGAATAGCTTTAGATCTGAGTCCTCCAATGGTGCTAATTCACTTCTCATTCATTCACTGCTAACCAACATTTTACACATGAAGAACTTGGAGAATGTGAAATGCGTGGATGTTCTGCCGTGTTGAGAGAGCTGCTGTGGGGAGGAGTGAACTCTGCTTTAATCTCCCTCTGCTGACTCAGAGGGCTTATATCCAGAACGTGGCGTGCAAAGCCTGCGTCTCCCCTGTGGCCGTTCCTCTCGCTGTGCCTTGCACACTTTCTGTATGGAGTCCTCACAATATTACCCCCCTCCGCCACACAAACTAATCCCCTGGACTCAATTCACCCTAATAGGTGTAAAGCCCAGAGACGATGGTGCTCGTAACACCCAAAACTATTCATACGGCTCTTTTTCACAGCGGCTAATTTAATAGAGGTAGCATCAGTTTAATGTCTGTCTTGATGTGATTCGGTAACGGCGCCCCTGTGTGTTTACACACAGAACTGTTGCTGCTACCAACATGAACGAGACCAGCAGCAGGTCCCATGCGGTTTTCACCATCGTCTTCACACAGAAGAAACACGACAGCGAGACGGACCTCACCACGGAAAAGGTCAGACCGGGCAGTGGCCCTTCGCAAGCTTAGAAACATTTATCCTTTGTGGTTAAATGTTGAGAGTTCATTGTTTTTCACAGAGTCAATGATGGCGTGATTGTTGAAATTAAAGTAGCAGAAGCAGTTTTTTTTAAATGCGTACTTTACTTTGGAGTTTTTAATAGTTTCTAGGATGTCCTTATTGGTATTACGTGACTCAGATGCTCATTTCTGTTGATCGGCTGAAAAATAGAAATTCACGTCTGCTTTTTAGCTTTACGTCCTTTAGGTGGGTTTGGCATGAAGGAACCAATGAATATTTGGGGAAATAGTTTAGTGTGGTTTATTGTCCACACTAAACCACACTAGTTTAGTGTGATATAGGGTGTGTAATGGTGGTTACCTGTTTTTGTTTTTTTGGAGATCCTGAGAGCCTTGTTGGCATTGATGGCTTCATGAAATCCTTAAACGCAGCAGATACGCACTAAAAATCTGATGAACTCCACAAGGAAATTGAAATTGGCCCATCATTTTGTTTTTCAAGAGGATAATGAATCAAAAATATTTAGCCCAGTCAACAAAGAACATGTTCTTGTAGCCTGACCATTGCGTAGCCTAAAACTAAAGTATTGCCTAAAGAAATGACAACAGGGATATTCTGATTTTTCACCAGTGACTTTTGTTAAAAAAAAAAAAAAAAAACACTGAATGAGTGCCTTTGAAATGTATTATAATTTAAGACAATATTTGCATTTACTTTTGCCAGACTGACTTAAACAGCTGTTTAGAAAATTTACATTCTGTAGTGAATTTGTGAAAATGGCTTTAATTCAGCCGTGAATGGAGAACAGGGGAAACGGAGCCATTTTAGTTTTGACTTCCAGCATTTCCTCTGACGCTGTAAAGACACAAAGATCGCTGTTATTTTGAAAACAATGGCCATTGTCTCCAGCCACTCTATCGGTTTTTACTGCCAGGCTGCATCTCACCAAACAGGAATGCTTAAATGTGTGTTTGGACGAGTTTTAACCACTTGCTTCTGAAATGTTAATGTTTCTCTATAATTCTTGGTCCTCTTATTATGTCAGTAATGTCCTGTTTAAAGTGCTGTGTTTAGGTTAGACTAACTCTGATCTAATCTGGTGATCACGTTTCGTTCAGAACCCGAAGGCTTCGACTTCCCAGTTGAACATTATGAAATAAGTGACGGATAAACTCACTGGGTTAGATTATAAAAACAGTTTGTTAGTTCTGCATCATGTGTTTCTAGCATTATAATCACTGACTAAATTGCATAAACAAGAGTGATTGTGGGTTTTATCATATTTCTCAGCAGAAGAGAAATATCGACGCCCATTATCAAAATGTGTGGAGAAAAATTTATTAGTTTATTTTTTATTTTTTTGTCATATCATAGCCTAGCATCCTTTAGACTTCCTTAATGCAAATCTAATTTATTTATAAGGTCTGGCATCTTATAGATTTGCACTCTCTCCTCAGGTCAGTAAAATTAGTCTGGTAGACTTGGCAGGAAGTGAACGTGCAGATTCCACTGGAGCCAAAGGTACCAGACTAAAGGTAAGAGTCTCATCTAAAGTGGCACAAAGCATCACCAGTCAGACGGCGGATGTCCTCCCTAAGTGTCTTAATTAATATGTTTTATTTTATTGCAGGAGGGAGCAAATATCAACAAATCTCTCACCACATTAGGGAAGGTCATCTCTGCCTTGGCTGAAGTGGTAAGCGCTTTTATTCCTGACGTTCCACTTTCTGCCGGTTCTTTCCTCCTCAGTCTCAGGCCGTTCTTTCCTCTCTTGAACTTGACCCTGCATTCTCGGGGCGTGTCGTTTGTCGCCTGGCATGCTGTAACGTCTGCCCCTCTGTTTTCTCTCCTCTTGTCCTTTCAATGCCTGCTTACACAGGATAACTGTACCAGCAAGGTAAACACTTTGACAGCTAACGTCCGAAAACAATCATTCATTGATGTTCATAGTGTTAAAGTTGCACAGTCTCAGCTGTTCCCGTTTCATCGCCTAATGTTCGGTGCTTTTAGGCAACATGCAAAATTACCCCGACAGTCATTAGAATAGTTTTCTGCTTGTATTGTCATTCACAGCAGTTTTGTTTTTTTTGTTTTTTTAATGAAACACCATTATTTTGAGAATTCTTTCAAACCTATTTCCCAGCTTTAATTTGAGCAACTTTGTTCCTTTGCAGAGCAAGAAAAAGAAAAAGACGGACTTCATCCCTTACAGAGATTCTGTTCTGACCTGGCTGCTGAGGGAGAACCTCGGTATGAACCCTAGTGGTGCTTGATAAATGTGCTAATCTGTTGAAATCTTCATCTCTCATGTGTTTTGAAGTCTTTATTTCTGCATAGCAAGTGACCCATTTGTGTAACAGAAAATGAAGCGGCAATATATTTAAAAAATAAATAAATAAATATCCGAAGCAAGTGTGCCTTACCCTGAGCCAGTTTAAGAAGAACACTGTCAGCAGACTGTATTTCAAACTAATAAGACGAGAAGCTCCTTCTATCTTCGGAAGAGGCATTTAAAGAGCACAGAGTGCATCTTCAGCCCTTCCTCGATTCAGTAAATTTTACTATTTAATTTACCGTAGTGGGGGAGAAACCCCTCCCCACCCCCCCCAAAAAAAAAAAAAACAATATTCAAAGTAATGACTGAAGTGCCTCGTCAACGTTTCTCATCAGGTGGTAATTCAAGAACAGCCATGGTAGCTGCCCTCAGTCCTGCAGATATCAACTACGATGAAACGCTCAGTACACTTCGGTAAGGTTATTGCTACGAGCTCACGTTCACAGCAAAAAAACAAAAATAAAAGCTGAATAGTTGAAACTCTCACATATGAATCCTGATGGGGATTTTTTTTTTTTTTTTTTTTTTTTTTTTTGGTTGGGGCGCCGGCGTAAAAACAAACAGA